TGCCATTTCACACTTTTCTGTAGACTCCCAAATGCTGTTTGGTATTAAGGGCTGAAAAGAAAATGCACAAGAGTTAGAATTGTAGGAGGGTGCCTTTTTTTGGTTTTTCTTAATTCCAAAGTGTTTTCTACATGCTCCAAATCATTTTAATTAACTAAGAAACACCTCAGCTGTGCTTAGTCTGGAGACCTGCACAGAATGAGCACCCTTCAGCACGCCTTAGCACAGAGACTCAATCCTAGTGCCCAGTTCTGAGATTAAAGATCATTTTAAGATGTTGCCATCTGAGCCCATTTATACATGCACCCACATGTATACTTGTATGCAGTAAAATCATTAGATATCGTTTTTGTTTTTGTCACCTGGGAAAACTAAGGCCCAGGGAGCTGCAGGGTCTTCACAAGGAGTACATGCTCTTCATCTCCATGTACTTACTTTTGTATAGGGATCTTTCACTATAAAGTCTGTTCTCATCATACAGAAATACAGTTTTCCAACAACAGTTCAGTCAGGCTAGAGGGCCATCTGTCCTAGCATTCAGCCTCTGGTTTCATAGCAAGGATTGGATGGGCACAGGCAGCTTGATAGTAAACAGCACCTGTTTGGTGTCTGGAGTTTCCAAAATAACCTATTCAGAGGGAAAACTTTCCCTAACCCCTTCAGTCAGAGGTTAAACTTCCTGATAGCAGAGGATTTATCTTCCTTCCAAACCGAACAATCTAAGCGCTTCAAAGGAAGTGATTCTTAATCTTTCCTTTTGCAATTCTTGAGCCAGGTTCGACCAATAAAGCTTTTGCCTTTGAGATCTAATTAGTCTGTTTTAAACTTAAAGCTTTACTCTGCAAAATGAATGTCTTCATCTGCCATTGATTTTAGCACGCTGATTTCAGTATGTGCAGGAGTTCAGCTCATTGCAGAATTAAACTTAAGTTCTTTAGCAGAGACTGCAAAGTGGGGAAGCCAAATTAAAAAGAATATCAAGATATCTGATGTTAAAGTGTCAGGTTTGTGTTTTCTTGTAGGTCACCAAGAGTCCAGTTACCTCCATCATTTTTTCACATTTGAGATATAAAATATTCTTAGAGCCTGAACTAAGAATAAGTGAAATCTTCCTGGCGTTGTTCTGTCCCATTTTGACTACAGAAATCCATACACACTCTGAGGGACAGGAGATGGGCCGTGTTTCTCTGCCTCTGTGTCTGATTAAAGCTGGAAGGTGAAAAGGTAACTGGGGTATTAGTAAAAGGAACTCCATCTGAGCAATGCAATTCTAGGGTGGCTTTGGTGTGTTTGGGGTTAAAAATATGAGTCTGTTCTGATTTCTTCTTCAGGTAACCATACTTGGCTTATTGCTTCTCTTGTCAGCATATGCAGGTAACCTGCTTTGCATGGTAACTCTAGATTTAGATTTGCATTTAGATGTGAAGGTGTCCAAGAAACTACAGTGGTTTGAAAGCATACATCCAGAAAAGTTGGCATTTCATAGCAGTGTCCCTGCTACAGTTCACTGCTGCATGGCTGAATTTCAGTGCCACCTACTTTGTGATATTGATAACAGAGATAGGTCAGAAGGAAAAAAGTATTCCTGTCCTCAGTTTTGCAGCAGGCAATTGTGAGGCAGTGGTTCTGAGCTGCCTTTCTGCTCCTTCTGGCCCATCTAGAAGCATGAGACTCCTGTAATGCAGAGATGCCTTCAGTCAAGGGGGCAGGCTTGCATCTTGAACGCACTGCCACATGGACTCATTGGGAGCATCCGGGGAAGGGGAGATGCTCTCTTTACAGGTTTGTACAAATACAAATTACTTTACTGTACCCACTAGGGAAAATGTCACTGTAGCCCTAAACTACCAGAGTGCTGTCCCAAGCCAAGCAGCTTTGCTCCTGAGGAAGGTATAGATGATCTCTGAGTAAAACAAAAGGAAGGGATGTGCAGCACCTTCTCACTGACCAACAGGAGCTGAATTGCCCTCTATCCCTTTTGAATGCATTGTCCTGGGGTTACTAAACTTGAGCCAACCCCATGACATTACTGTGTACTTTTGAAAACAGTTATTGCAGACTCATTATGTTCAGCAATCACAACAGCCAGACTCTTGAAAGTAGCTCCAGGCCTGGCAGGACACTGATGGGAGCACACTTCCCGCAGATGGCTCCTGCACACAGATGGCTCCTGCACACAGATTACTCTCAAAGGTCATTTTAAATAACCGTACTTACATTGTAATTCACAACACCAGAGTTGCCCCTGTGACCAGTTGTGTTAGGCATTTTGCAAAGCCACTTCATGTTTTGCAGACAGATACATCTTTACTTTCTTATCCGCTCTGTAGAACAAATTGCAATACATACATACAGCTTCTTTCTGTTGTGCCAAGGAGAGGAAACGCAGCTCAGATTCACACTAACACATTTATTTTTACAGGTGAACTAGGAGTGCCCATCAGGATTATCTGATGATGGCAGATTGTTAGGCCATGGTATTTCCTTCTCTCTCTGCTGTCAGATGTTGAGGGATGCATAGGCAGCCTTAACTCCGACCCTTGCCCACACACATTCCCATACTCCTCAGTTACCTTGGCAGCACCAGTAATAAGCAATTCTTGCCTATTCTACACACTTTTCCTACATTTTTTTAAGTGGTGTGTTGTTAAGCAGGTTTTTCCTACTCATTTTGGTACACAGCCCTCTACAGATGTCTTTTTCCTGACTCTCAAGTCCCAGTTGCAGCACATTCACCATGACGGACCCAGCAAACTGCCTGTATGTCAAAACCGGAGCACCTCTAAATTTGCAGTACTTGAAAACACAAGCCAACCTCCACATTCATGTTTTCAGTCCCCTAACTCGTAGCAGCTTCTCTCTAGAACAACAGAGGGCATCACTCTTCACATCAAAAAGTTGCAGCTGGAAGAGGAACAGCCCTGCGTTTGAATGATGGTTTGGTAACCAGACCATTTCTCTCTCAAGCAGTGATTCGTATTGAATATTCTCCCCTCAAGGAGGTTCACCTCTGCATCTCCTGCTCCCTATGGGAAGGCCATGGCCAAAACCTGTTCTCAGACATGCATGTACTGTTTCTCTTGTAGATCTTGGCCTAGTTTGCACAAAATGATTAAGCAATCACTAAGAAATGGCTTTAGCTAATTGATTAGCGTCTTCACTTGGGGGAAGAAGAAATCAGAGTCCAGGTTCCTACCACAGCTCCTGTGAAGATCTGTTTTTATTCCAGTGGGTTTGTAACATAAACATGCTGCAAAGCAGGTCCGGAATCTTTAAGTTTTTTCTCTCAGATGGCTGCATTATCTTCTGATCATCCTGTGCTGTCCAGCAGGAGTTCCCTGCCACAGCCTCCCCTGCCACCTGGTAAGCACTGCTGCCATCAACAGTTTTGATATAAAAGGTAGCAAATCTAGTTCAGCTGTTGAAAAACACTGATTTGTGCAGCTACCTCTGTGGAAAGCTTTAGGGCTGAGATCCAAGTAGAAGGCAGGGATAATAATGTGAAGCCCAGATCAAGCAGGGGGTACATATGTGTCCAGTTAACTAGTTTGTATGGCTCTTCTGGTCCCACTGAGTGTGGTGAATTCATCTCCTGGGCAGCTGTCTGCAGGGTGGCTGTGGCTCTCATGCAGAACCCAACAGCTCTTGTGCCCGCAGTGTATCATGTGAGCAGCAGCAGGGTTATTCTTGGCTAGGACTGATGTGTGCTCTAGGCCCCTCGGCTGTGGTAGGAAGCAAACTGGCAAAAGCTGCTGAGGCTGGTATTGATGGCTTTCCCTGGCCCAGGTGGGAGGGTTCATGGGATGCCATTCAAGGTCCTCCAGCCTTGGGCTTTCTGAGGTATGGGAGGACAGGATACCTGACAGGCAGGGTAAGGGAGGACTTGCAGCTCCTAAATAAAGGAAAAGTTCAGGTATATAAAATGTGTAGCAGATTCTGCTGGGGGGGGGCGGTTAAGCACTCTTGGTTCTAAAGTCCTTTTGTGAAGCTACAAAAAGGTTGGGTGTTTGAAAACTAGGCTGGTTTTCTAGTGGCATCTGCTGTGCTAATGAAAGGTCTTGCCTTCCCCTACAGACCATGTTTTACTTACATCCACAGAACTTTGCAGTAACATTACTATTTGAGAAGAACCGAAGTGAAAAAACAGCCTCTATTAAGGAGTTCCCCAGCCATGATTTATTATTATGCCCCCAAGGGCTACAAACCTCCTGGTCTTTGTTATTTTCCTTACAAGAAAGCAGAATTGGCCCATACCTGCAAAATATCGCATTCTGTTTGCTCAAAATGCACTGAGTAAGCCTCTTGAGTGCCAGGACTCCAAATCCAACTTGTTTTAAACCCCTGGGCAGTGCTAAAACTTATCTCCCCTAATCAGCAGTGATATTGCTAGCATTACTAGCTCTACACAGTGGCCACGGGTGCCACTTTACCTCAGCTGCTATGCTCAGAGGGGTGCTTGAAGGGATAAAGGCAATTCAGTTTCTTCACAACACCGCAAAGTCCACACCGGGCTGCCAAAACCCCGGTCCTCGTAACAGCTTTGCCTGCGGGCCGGGGGTTCCGAGTGAAGCTGCACCGGCTTCGGGTAAGCCCTCAACCGGTGGACGTTTGGACCAGCGGCGCTTTCCCGGCCGTGCGTACCGGCATCCGCCTTCCCGCACCCTGGGGCTGGCTGAGGCCGGGGGAAGCCAGCGCCCGGCTGGGAGCCGCGGCCCAACGGCTGCCCCTGCCGGCGGGGGCGGGCCCCCGGGCCTGAGCCGTTGCCAGGCGACCGCCGCAGCTCCGCCGGCCCCTCCCCTCAGCGCGCTCTCCTCCCCGAGCCTGCGCGGCCTGCGCGCACGTGCCGGGCAGCGTGCGCCGCGTCACGTGGGCGCGCGCGTGACGACCGTTGGCTGCGTGCGGGTGTGTCGCGGGCGGGCGCGCGGTTTGGTGTGCGGTGAGGCGGGCAGAGGCGGGCTCTCGTACCGACCCGCTCCGCTCCGTGCCGCCCCGGGGTGCCGGGCCCACCTCCCGGCAGGGCTGGTGCTGCCCTTCCGCGGCAAAACCACTGTCACCGGCCTTCTGGGTGCCTGCGTGAAGCTCTACAGGGAGCGCAGACAAAATAGCCCAAGCGACCTCTTTACCTCCTCAGGGTCCGTGCCTGTCTCCCAGAATTGCTGTCCAGCACTGAAGCATCTGTACGAGCACTGGCTTTTAAAACCAGAGGTAGGTGCGCAGGCAGCTGCAGTTTCACTTCTACCATCTGCACAAATGCAGATTAGCTCTGTCAGGCCGTCTTTTTCTTTTCAAGCATAGCATAAAAAGTACGTCATCTTTAGAAGGCACGTTCTATTCGGCCTCTCAGTCACTTGCAGAATGAAAGTTCAACCTGCATTTTAAAAAAAACTCAAAACCAACCCCTGAAAAACCCAAGACATTTTGTTTCTCCTGTTTCTGTTAGTCCTGCAAATGCATTTGAAGATCTGGCTGCCAGGCAAAGCCTTTTTTTCTGCACCTCAGGCTGCATTATTGATACGAAGTCTGCCCCCAGTGGTGTGATTGTTCCCATTTGGTTTTGATGGCAATACTCATATTCCACCAAGGGAGAAAAGTAGATCCTGCAGTTGGAACCTAGGTAAAGGTCTTACAACATTCACTGGAAGCTGTGATCTTTAAACTACAGAAATAGTGATCAGGGTCACTACTCACAGGATCCAAGCCTGAAGTCAGTTCAGTGGGTTCTAACCAAGTCCAAAGCCCTTGATGGACTAGGACCATGCAGATGGACTACTGCTTCTACATAGATGTGCTTCTTTGCACATAATGTTGCATGTGAGCAAAGCTGTGTGCCTGCCTGGCAGCAACTGCAAAGCTGGATTTGTTGGCAAAGTACTGTGAAAACAGAATCTGCTGCAGTATTTGTCAGCTCAGTTGGCTCTGTAGTGCAGGTACTACTCCAAAGACACTTGGGGAGCCAGTTTCCTGCTGAGTAAGGAGGTGCCATATTTACATAATTCTTTTCCTTAGGTGGTTCTTCAGAAAATGCTCAGTTTTGAGACTGGCTTGGCCACAGAAAAACAAGCTCAACCAACAGGCCTTTGCACAAGGCCGAGAAAGAGCTTTCCCCAGCCCCCATGGCCCAGTAGAGCTGCCTGGAATCACAGTCCCTACTTTCCAAACCATGAGGTCACATCTTCCCACCAGCCACCCTGGGATGTATCGGGAATGCCAGGCAGGGAGAGGCATTCCTGCGCCCCAGGAAAGGGCAGAGGTGGCAGCGGCAGGTGTGTTGCCACTGGGTGCTCCTGAGTTCAGTAAGGCAAAACAACTTCTGCTGCTTGGCCCAGGGCAGGGCAGCTTCGGGCAGCCAGTGTCACTGCTGTCACTGAGGCTGTGGTGAGTTTAGTGTTTGTGCCAGATGGCAACCCAGAGACTGAAACACTGTAGCCATGGGAAGGATGCAGAGGGAAAAGTGACAATGGCAACTCAGCTTTGCTCACGTCCGCACATGTCTGGGACCTGCACAGCCACTGCTAGTGGCAGGTGAGCCACTGGCTTCTCTCTACTGCTTTGCAGTGAGCTACTCTGAGGCTGCAGTATAACCAGAGATAACCACTTAATAGGGATTCAGACTTTCTTGAGTGCAACCAGCAGTAAAAAATCCAGCTGTGGTTGGTTTCCTTGTTTGTTTTTTTTTCTTTTGTGGAGAGGAAGTCTGGCATTTTTGTTACTCCATAGAATCACAGAATGGGTTGGGTTGGAAGGGACGTTACATGTTATCTAGTTCCAGCCCCCTGCCATGGGCAGGCACACCTTCCAGTAGACCAGGATGCTTTCCTTGAGGTCATACTTTCGTGTTCATTTCTGCAACTAGCAGGCAGGAAACTTGTCAAAGGCAATGGTGATCACATGATTCCAGGAGCTGATATTTGAGAGGAAATGGAAATACCTTGTGAGACCCAGGGTACGGGACAGACTATAAATTTGCCAGTGCAGAAATGCACATTGTTCACAATCTCCAGGGTTGCTGAATGTCAAAGACATTCAGTCTTCCCTGACTAAAGGTGAAAATTAAACAAGCCCCAAAACGTAGACTTAGGGCCTACTCAAAAGCCCATTACTCAAGAAAAGGACTCCCACTGACTTAATTGGTAGGTCAGGCTTTTCTTAATAGGACTGATGATCAGTTTGAGTGAACCTTCCAAACAAAACTTCCATGACCTTTAGTGGGAGGTACATGATATTACCTTCCATTGGCTTAACAACCTCAACTGTGTTTATTTAACGCACTGTAATGGAGCCTTTCATGTCACTATAATATACTGGGTAAATAAGACCTGTTTTCAAAGTTTATTGCTTAAGAAAAGACATTTTACCAGCTTACATCCTTTGTCTTGTGGTTATGAGAAAATAAGCATACTCAAGTGTATACAATAAATGTAGCACCCAATCCTGCGTGCTTAGTACTTGGGAAGTGCAGACGAAGGCCCATATATCATACAGTTATAGAAAGCAGGTAAGAAATAACAAGCTGATAATACATATTTGTACATAGGTAAATGTATATTTAAACCTATCAGGTTCTTGTCCAGTGTTTGTATGATTGGGTTTTTTTAACCTTGGGAAAATATGAAATGTATTTCATATATAATTTGACTTAGGTGCCAAAGGGATTTGAGGAATCCTGGGATTTAATAATTAAAGCTGACACTAGGGTCCCTCCTGTCAGTTGCCTTTTGCCTGCAGCAGCAGTGGGTTATCAGCCTCAACTACAAACCTTTCTTTCACGTGTTTGGTTTTGTTAGGCATTAGGATTGTCTGAGCACACATATTTTGTCTTTATGGTTTATGTGATAAAACTTAATAGACTCCACTGATGGGGCAACTTGGCATGAAGTCATTGGGTACATTTGATTCAAGGACTGATAAAAATAAGCTTTCCTGTTATTGTACTTGGAAAAGAACTGAAATTGATAAAACCCTGTGAGGATCTAGGTTTAGAAGGATGGAAATTTGAAAAAGGCATGAAGACTGGCCCATGCTCAGGTTTCAAACAACCCAAGTGTTCATGATGGGTATGATTCTTTCGAAAAGCGTTCATGGCTCCACCCTTTCTGGGGGCATAGTAAACTGGTAGGAAGGGCTTCCTTCATGCACAGTAAGGCAAATCCCCTCCCCTAGCATGAGGAGTTGGAGTGTATGAGCATGTTCATCCCTGTGTAACTCTGGCCACGTAACAGGTGTTGAGCTGTTTAAGTATGCAGGTCAAAGTGAAGTGATTGGCAAGATACGGAGCTGAAGGGCTGAAGCCAGTTCACTTTCTTTCCTGAAATAGCATGAGGTGCAGGGTGGGATTCAAAGACAACTGCAGTCAGACAGAGTTTTTTTCATTACCTTTAGTAAGCTTTGACTTCAGCCCATGAAAAGTTGGCTTCAGTGGGTATCCTGATGGAATGTAGTGGCGTTTGGTCCATCAGCATCATTTTCTGGAAAAAGCACTGCTATATGTCCTCTGGTACTTGTACAGACAGTCTGCCTGTATCTCTGTCTAACAGGAGTTAATTTTACTAAAGCTTCCTTATGAAAAGACGTATACCTATTTCTTAGTAATCTCACTTGAACAGTTTTAAAGGAGCGCTTATTTTTCACCCGATTTAGAATCCCTCCTCTATTTTAAAGGACTGCTGGAATCAACATGAGTCTTAAGAGTTTTCTGTTACTTCTGCGCTCCAACTTCATTCCTTGTGCGCGTAGTCATTGGTATTGAAGAACCGGCAGAGGGAGCATGAAACGCTTCCTTTGTGTTGCGCTCTTACATAAACATTGGCTACTGTTTGAAGGTTTCCTTAATTTTATTTTTCTGGAGCAGGAAGAATTTTTGAAAGGAGAGGTGATGCGGCTTAGGTATTAAATCCGCGGAAGTCTTTCGGGTGCTGCACTTCCATGCGATGAATTACTTGCCTGTTTCCACCACTCTCTTCCCCCTCCTGCTTACTCCCCTCCTCCCCCTCCAAATGTTCAGTTTTCGTTGGGGGTTTCCAAGCTGGGACATATATCATTCCTCCAGAGCTGATGATACGTCATTAGATTGTCAGGCAAATCGTGAAGTTTGCTCATGGTGAACAAAGATAGCTCCTGTGCAGCACCAGGGCTGTGAAGTATTCATTGCAAAGATTATTATTTTGCAAAAAGGAGAAAAGTAGATGTCAGGAAGAAACATGCATGTTCCACAGGCACGCTTTATGCTTTGTGAAATGCACATACCTGCAAACAGTTTGCCACAGGGAGTTAAAGGAAAGCAAAGAAATCCAAACATAGATTAAAAATGTGAAAAGTCATTAAAACAATTTTCATCGGCCACACAATCATACGTTTTGAAGCTCAGTGCACCCCTTATCATGTCTTATCATTAGATTTTTAATTAGAAGACAACCCCATTTTGTGTATTAAAGTTTTTATTCCTTAGTAAGAATTTTTTTTTTAATCACAAAATAGTGTGGAAATATTTAGATAATAGAATTCATGGAGTGCTGGAAAATACTGAATATAAAGATTGATTTCTAATATATCACATACTAAACTGTTCTAAACCAGCTGGTTTCTTGCAGACAGGATTTATTTTTTTTTTAATAATTTAAGACAGCATAAGCTTGTATCAAGCATAAGCATTGTAACAAAAGTGCAACTTTTTCAGCAAACCCTCCCCAGAAAAGTTTTTAACTCAAAATATCATTAACACATATTTTCTCCCTACAAAAATAGCATGTCAGACATCATTAATTGAATGTATTAACAACTTATTTACACACAGCCACTCTGTAGGCCAGTAAGAGGGTATTTTTTTTCCTTTTTTTTTTTTTTTTACTACGTTGTTTAAACACAGCGTTTGAGGCAAAACAGTAGCAACAGCAGCAGTGGATGCACCAAACAGACGGACAGAGCCCGCACGGACGGACGGATGGACGCGTGCTCACGCCTCGCCAGGCTGTCATGTCTCACCTCTTACGTAACATTCAAGTGAGATTTCTCACAGTGCTACCTTGGCAACAAACTAAAAATATCTAGGCAAGGTCTTGGTTTAAGCCTTCTTCTAAAAGCTTTATCCGTGTGATTATCTGGCAGTCTGGTTTGTCTCCGGGAAGGGAAACGGCGGCATTTGAGCTCAGGATGAAGGGGAGAACCCACTTGGGAAACTTACCCCAACTGGTCTAATCGTTTCTGATTGCACAGTGAGGTGTGTTACCTACGGCCTCCGCTTTGTGTCCCTCGGATTTAGGATAAAGTGAGTGAGGAGTAGTTCAGGCTGACGAGTTGCTCTGTGTTTTCTTGAAGGGGAGAAAGAGGAGGGGGATATTTTTTGTAGCTCAGTGCAGAAACATTCATTTCATACAGCAAGGTTCGGGGGGAAATCTCTCGGGGACATACTGAATTAAATAAAGAGAGGGTGAGTACAAATGCACTTGCCACACTTGTATACCTTAGCCGAAAAGAAATAATAATTATAAAATAAACACAAGGTTACATAATGGGTCTGCCCCTCCTTCCCTTGCACACCCAAAACTCGCCGGAGCCAGCGGCAGCCCCGGGTGCTCAAGGCACTGCAGGTTCGGGCTCGGGGTGCTGCCGTCTCTCTGCGCTCCTGCTCTCAGTAAAGTGCTAGCGCGGGTGCGGGGGCCTGCCCTCCTTCCTTCTTTCCATCGCCTCGCTTTGCCCCGCCTGCACCCCGAGCCCACCCGGGGCTCCCTGGCCGCAAGTGCAAGTTCTTATGAACCCATTGCAAATAAGGTGCAACATTTAAGTTACCTTAGAAAGAGAGAGAGAAAAAAAAAAACTATCCTTACTATTTCTTCTTCCTTTTTTTTTTCTTGTTTTTCCTTATTTATGCATGTATAAAGCCAAACATTAAAAAAATACTGAGTAGCAAATTTTCTCCTTGACGATGCTCTGCGGGACACCGAGGCTCCCCTCGAGGCGGTCGCTCCCCGGGCCGGACGCCGCCATCCCGCAACCGCCAGCTCCCGGCTCGCCTCGGCCGGTCCCCGGCTACCCCTTACAGATGCCGCCCTGCCCTCCACAGGAAACCGGGGGCGCAGGTGCCGGCCCGACGGTCCCTCCCCGCCCCGTGGCGGGGCGGCCAGTCCGAGAGGAGGGCAGCGGCGGCGAGGAGCCGGCGCGTGGGAGCTCCCGGCCGGCGGCGTCTCAGGGACCCTCGGCACCGGGCTCCTCGGCAGTGGCGGTATCGGCGTCCTCGCCGGGCTCGGCGGCGGCCATCCCGGCGGCGGCGGCAGCGAAGGGGTGCGGGAGGTGGGGAGCCGGGGGCAGCCCGGCGGCGGCGGCGGCCACTTTCTCGGAGGGGCCGAGCACGGAGGAGAGGCAGGGGAAGGAGGAGGCGGCGGCCGCGGCCGCGGCGGCGGCGGCCTGGGCCGGGATGCCCGGGTAGAGGAGCGGGATGGGGGCTGCGGGGTAGAGATACTTCTCCAGGCTGCCTTTATCCAGGAAGGGCTGCATGTAGGCTGCGGCGGCAGAGGGGGAGATGAAGTAGAAGGGTAAGCAGAAAGGGGCCGCTGCCGGCTGTCCGAAGGGGACCCCGCCGCCGCCCGCCCCCAGGGCCATCAGCGAGCCCAGCAGTGCGGCGTCGGGTCTCACCAGCGCTGCCGCCGCCGCTGCCGCCGCAGCCGCCTCGGCTCCCCGCGCCGCCAGCCCCGGCGGGGTGGGCATGGGGCTGCCGCCGCGGTCCAGCTTCAGCCGCTTGGGCGCAGGGGGAGCCTCCTCCCCCGACGGCTCCTGCTTGATGGCCAGGGCGGGCAGCGCGCCCCCGGCAGCCGCAGGGCCGCGCTCGGCGCGCGCCTCGCCCTCCCCGCCGTAGCCGCTGTCCGTGTCCGTGTCGGTCTCACCGCTGAGCTCGGCGGCGTGAGTCCGCTGGATGACGGGCACGCAGTTAGCCTGGCCCTCCGGCTTGTGGCCCGGCGCGCAGGGGGGGGCGGGCGTGGAGGAAGAGGAGGAGGATCCCTTGCAGAGGGGGCCTGGCTGCGGGGAAAGGAGCTGGGGGCCGGGGAGGAACTGCGACGAAATGGAGTGCAGGTGGCCAAGGAGTTGGGCGCATCGCTGCTCACGAGGGGTCCAGCTCTCGAAGCGGGAGAGGTACTGCAGCACTTCCTTGGCGCACGTCTGAAAGCCCGAGTGGAAGGCGTCCAGGTCGGCCTGCACGGGGGACTTCATGGACCGCTCCCCTGCGGGGAAGACGGAGAGGGGACAGCGTTTGCCCGCGGTTCCACCGTGGGGTGCCTCGCTCGTCGCCTTCCCCGCACCCCCTCGTCCGCTCCCGGTGCCCCCCGCTTACCATTCTGCAAAGCAATGATCTTCTGGTGCTGCTGTTCCGTTAAGGCTGTTAACGCTTTCAAGTGTTTCAAAGTCAATTCCAGCACCACAGCTTTCTCCAGATGTCCCAGCGTCTGCAAAGGCAAAGGAAGGGGGCAGCTTGGCTGGCTAACTCCCGGCATGCTGTGGCTACTGCCAAACGCCCGGCCGCCTCTGTAACTTAGGGAAACTGGTCCCCGAGGGGCCAGTTACGGGCAGGCAGGCAGGCAAACGGGCAGGCGAGCGAGCAAGGCAGCACGGCGTCCCGCACTCCGATGCCCCACGGGCTGCGCAGCGGGCAGGCTGCCGGAGCCTGCATCTGCACGTACATCTGCGCCCCTCTGCACCTTACCGTCAATTTCAGATGCTCGGGCAGTAAATCCTTCAGCTGGGCAATGCATTCGTTAATCCTGTCTCGCCTCTTCTTTTCTATCAGTCTGTGTGGCAGTTTGTATGTTTCCTAATTAGCAAAATCCGGAAAAGCCAGGCGTTAGACAGAGTCCCTCGGAACGCCGACCAAAACCAAAACAAATGTCACGCCGACCACATGCCGCGCAAATTATCACCAAGGCACCGCTCTCCCAGCCGTGCCAGCTCGCTCGGAAACCCGCTTGTACTTCGTGGGGGAGGAAGTTAAAGCGGAGCCGTCCGGGGATGCTCCTGGGGGTGCAGCTGCGCCGTGAAATTTAGCGACCCCCAAATAAGCGCTCGAGTGAGAACAACCCCAGAAACTTACCTTGCTCTCATCCCTCTTCACGCCTCTTTTGGGTTTGCACATATACAGGGAAGGGTAGTCCAGCCTGGAGAGAAACACAAAGATCCGGCATCGGCAAAAGCCAGGACTAGAGGGCAGACAGACGGAGGGCCGGGGATCGGGCAGGGGACGGCCGAGAGGACGCAGAGGGAGGCTATCCCCGCGCACCGCCGGGCAGACGGCTCTGCTGCCAGCGCCTCACAGCACTTTCTGCAGGGGACGAAACGCCGTAGAGCCCAGGAGCCGGAGGTGCTGCCCTGGCTCCTTACCCTATAAAATCCCTGTGCTCCAGTAACTGCCTCTCCGGCAAGCGGGAGATTCCTTCATCCATGTCTGGCAGCGGCTGACGTTTCGTCGCTGCTTTTGATGGAGCCGGCGGGATGCTGAGATTAGTCCGTGGAGATCCGCGAGCGACGCTGCGCACATGCAGCCTCCGTTCCCCCCTTCTCCCGTGCAGTGGCGAAAGTGTGCGGCGGCTCGTCCCCGTTCCCCCCCCCCCCCTTCCCCTCCTCTGCCTCCGCCGCTGCCGCTCCCCCTGCCCGCCTCGCTCCCGCTCCCCGCGCACCCGCCCGCAGCACACGCGAGGTTGCACCCGCTGCCGCGGGGCACGCGCGCCGACAGCCAGCCCCGCACACGGCTCACGTGCGGCGGGCGCCGGGCGGGGGGCGGGACCGGGGCGGGGGGAAGGGAAGCGGTGGCGGGGGGAGGGGGGGGGGGGGATGTCCCCGCCGGCGGCCCAGGGCCCGCCCTGCCAGACACCGGCTTTCCCCCGTGTTACCGCTGTTGCTGTCATCATCGTTGCCGTAGTTAGTACTACTCGTGCCCTCATTACTTTTCGTAATTTTATTATTATTATTGTAATTTTATCATTTTACTTGCACTTGGGGAGGAGAAGCCGCCCGTGGAAAACGTGCCCACGGCGGGGGGATCGAGACCCTCTCCTCGGAGAAGAGGAGTAAGTAGGGGGGCGGGTAGGGCGTCACGTTTGGTGTACGTCGTATATACATTTGAGGGTGCGTGAGCACGAAGAGGCGCACACGCGTAGTTGTTTTGCGGTGCCGCAGCTCTCGCCCTCCGGTGATACCACTCGGCAGACCTTTGGACGGGAGACGGGTCCGACTGCAACGCCAGACCGCGGCAACACCGCTTCTTACATGCGTACGGATACATATATATATCAATATGTATATGCCCATATATATATATATATGTATATCTACCTTATCTGTACGCTGACGCTGCCTTCCTCACAGGCAGCCCGCATCCCCGCGGGGCGCAGGGGGTGACATTGGGAGCCGATTTGCACCGGTGCAGCGTGACCGCCCGCGGCAGTCCCGGGACGGGGCGGAGCGGGAACCCCCGGTCCCGCCGCTCTCCCCCTCCGCGCTGTCCTCGCTCCCCGCCGGCGGCGGCACCGACAGCCGCCTCCCTAATCCCGTCTCACACTGGTACGAGCACAGGGCCGGCAACGTGACCCGACCTGCTGCCACATCACTGCCGCCGGCAGCAACGGGCGGCGCTGCACCGCCCCCCCCCGCCCCCAGGCAGCAGCACACGGCGGCACCGGCAGCAGCGGGCACCCCCCCTCTAGCTCGGGCTACCGGGCGCAGTGCCCCTCCAGCCTCACACTGCCCCCCCTGTGCCGGGCAGCGCGCCAGGACGCCGCGGACGCCCCCCAGCGGAAGGTGGGGGGTGCTGCTGCCACGGGGAAATGGGGTGCTCTTCCCGTGCCCCGGGAAGAGGCTCTGCATGTGTCCCTGCGTGCGCGCTGTGTTTGTGTGCACGCCGGCGCCGCATGTGCGGCCCTGCAACGTGCGGGGTGTGCAGTGGCGGGGGGGGATATGCGGGGTGTGCAGAAGACCCGTCCCACGTGCCATGCGGGGGGGAGATGAGCCCCCCTCCCCAACATCTCCCCCTTCCTGCTCCTTATTCCCAGACACAAGGACGGTCAGGCGGCTTTCTCTCCGGTATTCCCGGTGGGAAGTGTCAGCAGCAGAGGAGATCCATGGCGATGCGTTTATCCCCCCCCCCTTCGCTCCAGCCCTGGCCGCTTGCCTTTCATTTGGTTAAGCTTCTCTCTCTCCCTCCCTCGCTCCCTCCCTTCGGCTCCGGCTCCTGGAGGTGCGGGACCCCCAGACGCGGGGTGCACTAAGGAGAGGGGCAGTTTAGGGGTCCCACAGCACGTGGGAGGGAATTAGTCCAAAAGCATGCCCCCGCCAGCCAAACGAGAAAAAGATCTACGTCATTCCTTCCTAACGATGGTGCTTTACAGGTAATCTTACCGGGAGCGTAACTCGTGATTTTTAAATGCGGAGGGGCCGCTGAAACCCCGCTGCCCCGCTGTGAAGTGCGAATGAGGTTTTAGGAGCAGCAAAGGCTCTGATGAGGTGTTGGAGGCTCCTGCTTGGGAAGCAAGCGAGTGGCACTGCAGTCTGATATAGCGTTTTTCCCTGTTATAACCTGATGGTATCTTCACAATATCAGTGCAAATAAACTGGGGGCTAAAAATAACCAACATAAATGTATACCGCATGCCCATAGGTTATATTTGGGAATGTCAGGAGAAGAGGCTTGTGAACTGCTGCAGAGGTTGTTGGGAGAATCTGCTCCTGGTGGGAAAAACGAAGTTACATTGGCTGGACTGTATGGACCTGCTCCCTCAGGAAGGGCGATTGCTGGGTAGTGTTGGAATCCATGTTGGACA